CTGTTGCATATCTTCGCCTCTTCTTCTCCAAAGCCCCTTAAACGAACAAACAAACTTCAAAAGTAAAATGAAAAGAACTGCAATTGACTCTTTATTCTTTTTTCTCTCCGAGTGTCTAAACTGCGGAAACATGAACGCGTGGTTCTGCACAGGCACAAGGTGTACAGACACCCCAGCCGACGGGAAACCGCGGCGATGCGGAATTCATTCCACGCAGCTCTAAAGCAGCAAAAAGAGAATTAAATCAGAATTATAAATAATAAATTTTAAAAAAAAAGATATTTTTGCTTCTGAAGCAAAGCTGAACGAACTCCGGCGGTCATTTTTGGCTACTTTGCTGCTGCAGCTCCCTTTCAAGTTTCGCCGCTCTTTTATTCAAACTCAGCCACCAAAAAGCTGCTTTACTTTTTATTTGTTTCTTTTAAGAGCTGATTATTTAATTTTGCAATTTTCTGCTCAAGTTTTACTTGAAAACTCAGTAAATTATTCCAATAAAATTTCTGGAATCGTTATTGGCTTTAAAAAGTATAAATTTGCGTGAAAATGTAATATTTCCTTCAATGATAAGTGAAGAAATAAAATTTGCAGGAGCAAGAAACAAATGCAGTTCTGAAAACTCAAAAGAGCCCTGAGGCGTTTTCCTTAATAATTGTTCTTTTTTATTTTTATTTATTTTTAATATTTTCAAAAAAAAAGAGCAACAAAAGAGGAAATAGCAACAAAGAGCTTCATGGTGTCATTTTTATTCTTTAATTATTCCTTTGGAAACAATTTTTTCATTTATTTCATTTTAAATATTTGAATTTAATCTAATTCATTTAATGCAACCAAAGAGGCTCTTCAGAAAATAAAGAAAAAAATATTTAAATTGCTTTTTCTTTTAATTCGACGTTTCTTTCTTTGCAACTTCGCAACAAAACAAAATAAGTAAAAAGGAATTCTTTGATGGCCTTTTCCCAATTTTCCTTCAAAAGAAATTCAAAAACATAAGTGCTGCTGCTACAGCTAGCCACAGCAGCAGCAGCCAGCAGCAACTAGCTGTCCAGCTAGCCACAGCTAGCCACAGCTAGCCACAGCTAGCTACACAGCAGCTAGCTAGCCGCAGCACATTCTGGCTAGCTTCGCGTGGCTCCGGCAAGCTGCAGCTAGCCAGAGCTTGCTGCAGCTAGCCAGAGCTTGCTGCTGCTTGCTGCAGCTAGCCAGAGCTTGCTGCAACTTGCTGCAGCTGGCCAGGGCTCACTGTGGCTAGCTGCAGCTAGCCAGATTTTGCTGCAGCGTGCTGCAGCAAAATGCCGCTTGCTGCAGCTTGCTGCAGCTAGCCACAGGCCTCAGCTAGCTGCAGCATGCTGTGGCTAGATGCAGCAGGGCGTGTGCTGCTGCTGCTGCTGCTGCTGCTCCAAAGTGCGCTATTTTGCATTTTTTTTGAAATAAAAAGGCCAAAGAAGTGAATTTAGGGATTTATTGCTTCGCTGGGACTGAGTTCATAAATATTTCATGAAAAGAAAAAAAGAAATTTAAAAAATGATTTGGAATCGAGGGGCTCAAAGACAGTCCTAGGAATCTCAGCAGACACCTCAGCTTGAATACAAATTTGTCTTTTGAAATTTTGCAGGAAAAAACTTTTGCGAAAAATGCGGAAAAATGAAAAAGCCACGCAGCAGCAGCCGCAACCTGGCAGCAGTTTTGTGTTATTTTGCAGCTTTTCTTTTATTTTTTTGTCTTAAGGAGGAAATAAACTAAATTAAAATGATTTAAAACTGTAAAAGCTGAATATTATTTGCGCAGCAGAACCACTGGGCACCCGCAGCAGGTGTGCACCTGCTGCTGCAGCGCCCCACAGGCGAGCAGCCCCACAGACAGAAAGCAAAACTGCGGGGAAAAAAGGATTCTACATTTTAAAAAAGAAGAAAAGTATTTATCTGCAATAAATTGAACAGAAGACAAGAGGAAACTGCTTGAAAAAGCCGCGGCGAGCAGCAGTCTTCGTGCGCTGTGTCTGGTGAGGGGGTCTTGAAAAGGAGCGTGCAGCTGGAAATCTCGCGTTTATTTCGGAATTAAACGGAACCAGAAAAAAAATAATTATATTTGTTTTTACATTTATCTTTTTTTCCGTTCAAATTAGCATTTTAAAACCCCATTTGTCGCCGGCGTGCAGATTCGCAGGGCGTGCAAGATCGCACTCTCCGGGTTGGTTTCAGTTTCCCGCTGCAGTCGTTCATCTTTGGCTTTCCTTCAAGGCTTCTCTTTTGTTTTTTTGTTATTTCCCTTTTTGTTTTTAATTCGAAACCAATTCTTTCCCGCGTCCAAAATGGAAGGCGTAGAAGTGCAGCCGCACATTCAACTCCGCCGGGTAGGTCGCGTCTGCTTTCCACCGGAAACTTGAATTCCAAGCTTCTTTTTCCCCTTTTCCTGGCTTCTTTTGCAAACCACTGTCTTATTTTGCAAAACGTTTCGAAATTAGTGGAGTTTAAACGGTGAAAGAGGAATAATATTCTCAGATTTGCGTTTGTTGCGGCCGCCGCGTTCAAGGAAGGCTTCTGGTGCTTCGCGCGCGGGTGTCTGGGGGAAACCTGGGGAAAACGGCGCGAGCTGCGGACTTTTTTGTTTTTTCTGTTTTATAATTGTTTTAATTATGATTTTTGTTTTTTTGTTTGCGATTTTAGGGCCAGGTGCAGCCGGTGGTGCTGACGATGGGGGATCCGAAGCGGGTGGACGAAGTGGCGGCTCTGTGCGACAGCGCGGAGCCGCTGACGTTCAACCGGGAGTTTAAGTCTGCAAATGTGGTCAAAGACGGGCAGAAGTTCACAGTAATATCTCACGGGATTGGCTGTTGCAGTTCGATGATCTGTTTCGAGGAGTTGATCAAGCTGGGGGCGAAGTGCATCATCCGCGCGGGCACCTGCGGCAGCATGAAGCCCGACCAAGTCAAAAGAGGAGATATTTGCGTCCCTTTTGCTGCAGCCAGAGACAACGACGTTTGCGACTTGTACATTCCTCCGAGAATGCCAGCAGTGGCGACTCCGCGGGTGTTTCAGAGCCTCCTGGAAAGTGGAAAGCAGCTCGGAATTCCCCTCCGCCAGGGCATTGCGCTGACCAATGGTCTTTTCTACGGCCACGGCAAAGAACACATCGAGAACTTGACCAATTGGAGCAAATTTACGGACATAATTGACTGCGAATTCCAATCTCTCTTCCTCGTCGGCATCGGCAGGGGAATCGAAACCGGCGGGATTGCAACAGTCGACGGCTCACCCCTCCAGTGGGATCAGGTGCAAATTCCCCCAAATTGAATCACCTTTACTTGCTTTTATTTTTTTAAATTACTTTTGAATGCTTTTAATTCCATTTTAATCCCAAATTGCTTTTGTTTCCCGAAGAAGTGCCTTCCTGCGGCGCGGGAATCCTGCACTTGCGTGGGCGCGGAATGCCTAGTTGAATAGACACCTGGCAGCAGCCCTTCCTGAGGGAATTAATTTCTTTCTAAATTATTGAAATATCAATTGTTTAGTAATATATTGATTGTTGAATACTCAAATTATGAAACGGTTAGCTTTTGTTCTGTTTGCAGGCCAATTATGATCCTTCGGGAAACACCGTTGCGGAAGGAAAGAAGAAGATGCTGACAGTTGCAATTCACACTTGTACGAAGCTGACGCGGGAGTACAGTGGCAACTGAGTTTTTTGAAAAGTAAAAATGAAAAGAAAAAGAATTGAAAGATTTAAAAGGAAAAGAATTGAAAGTTTTGAAAGAAAGAAAAATGAATTTGGTCTCGCAGTTTGTTCGCAGTCATTCGTCAACAAAGGCAACTTGAACGAATGCGGCTCGCCGAGCGAAGGCCTGTGCCCGTCGTGGCAGGTTCTTTGAGAGAAATGCGCAAATAAATGCATTTAATTGAATTAAATTGTGAATTGAATTCCATTAAGTTCTAAAATAATTTATTTGGAAGGATTCCTTCGATTAAATCGGGGATCGCTCCCGAAACGCTTGACGCGTCGTGTGTGCACTCCACTGTATGCGCTAAAATGTGTTCATAATGCACTCCTTGCGAACGAGGTTTGAGTTCATGTTTTTGAACTTTAGTTTAAATGCAGGGAAATAAAAATTTGAAATGTTTTCCCTTTTGGCTGAGGCGTTCCGTTTCCTTCGTTGAAAACGGAAAAAACGCCATTTTCAACTTTCAAGTTTTCCGAATCGCTCCACCGATTAGCGCTTTCCCGCAGCTAAAACGCGAAAACAAACAAGAGTGATCTGTTATTAAATAATTGGAATATAATTCTAAAATAGTATTTTAGTTAAATAATTTAAAATATAATTCTCCTGGGGGTCGCTGTGGCGTTTTTAGATCAGGTTTCCGCAAGTTGAACTTCCGCATTTTGCCATTTGATGCTGCTGCAGAGCAAAGGTAGGGTAGGGTTTAGGGTTTGGCGTATTTGTAGAAACAAAAACGCTTCAAGCGTTTGGGGCTAGGGTCCAGAGAAGTGCAGCAAACACGCTTTGAGGGTTTAGGGTTTGGGGTTTAGGGTTCAGGGTTTGATGCATGGGCGTGTGATGGCGCTTTAGCGCAGGGCTTGCTGGTTTATATAAGAGGCAGTAGCGGAGTTTCTTTGGAGCTGCTGCAAACAAAGGTGTCAAGGGTTTAGGGTTTGGGCTTTAGGGTTTGTGTGCATGCAAACACCCGCATGCTCTTTAGCTCCTCTAAGGCGATCTATGGAGACATTCTTCTGGCTTTTTGCAAATAATGTAGTTGTATGATTAAATAAAGGGGGTTTATTTTGCCCTTTCGCAAACAATATATTTGCATAAATAAATAAAAAGGAGTTCTTTTGGTTTTCTGCACAGAAGTGCAAGTGTGTTCATGAAAAAGGGTTGTTCCCGATTCATGGCGAGTGCATGCATGCAAAAAGATGGAAAGAAAGGCTTTTTGGTTTATTGCAAAAGCTGCATGCGTTTGATTTATTATTTTTGTTTATTTGCTTTCAAAAAATGCAAACTTCCAGCTTTAAAGCTCTATGTTCGTCACCACCGTCTTCGTTTCCAAGTAAGGCAACAGCCCTTCCTCTCCTCCTTCCCTGAATTCGGACAAAACAGAAGAAATCAGAAAAACATTTAGATTCCTTTTATTCAAATAAAACAAAATAAATTGTAAAAGAACATTTTAATCCTTTTTTGAGGAAAAAGGGAGACAGAAAGAACCGCATTTCCTTATTTTTTGAAGCAAAAGCAGCTTTTTGTGTTCATCTATCTGCAGAAGAGCAGAATATAAATTCAAAAATAACCATTTAATATTTCTTTTCAATTATGAAAAAGATTATTTAAATTATAAAAAACAATATTTCGATTTCTTCTCAATTTCCACTTTTCTGAGTACACTTGAGCAGCGAGTGACCAATGGAACAGGCAAACACAGCAGTGCGGCAAACGTGAATAGCTTTGCATATTTGCCTTTCCGATTCACTTTGAATAATTAAATTGAAATGATTAATTTGAAATAAACCATTTAAATCCATTTAATTGGGGGGGGAAATGGGGAAGAAGCGACAGAATTGAAAAATGTGAATTCCGGGCGCTAGTGACCAGCTCGATTTCAATCATTCCAGTGGAGAATAAATGCAAACAAAGAAATAAAAGATGAATTGAATTAATTAATGAAATATAAATTAAATTAAATTAAGAAGTTGAATCTGAGGCAATCAGAATTGAAATTGCGTTAAAACCGCCGACTTCCAAATAATTCAAGTTGACCAAATTCAAGTTCTCCAAAAATCGGGAAACTGGGATGAAAAAGGCCAAATTGAGTTCCTATTCTTGTCAACTATGATTAAAATATAAATTAAAAATTGAACTAAACCAAAGATTTGAATTTAAATTGAATAAATTTGAATAAATGAAACAAATTCAAATTCAGGTACCTGCCATAGCCGCTGGCTTTGTAGCCGCCGAAGGGAATGCCCACGTCGCCGCTCAAGTAGGTGTTCACCCACACAGTTCCCGCGTGTAGCCTGCCAAAACACCAAACTAGGGTTTAGGGTTTAGAGTTTAGGGTTCGTGGCACGGAGCCTCAAATTCTGGGGGTCAAGAGGCTAGTGAAGGACCAAGAGTCTCAGCAGCAGCGGGTTCAAAACGGGGGAGAAACCCCAAGGGTTTAGGGTTTAGGGTTTAGGGTTTACCGGCTAACGAAGTAGTCTGCGAGAGCAATGCTAGAAGTGAAGACCCCAGCGCCAAGTCCGTACTGAGTGTCGTTTGCCCTTTGGATCTGAAAAGATGAAAAGATGAAATTCAATTTTATTTTAATTCTTTTTTTAATTTCAAAAACAGTTCCAATTTCAAATACTTATTTATCACTATTTCCCCCTTTATTGGTCCATTCCGATCACTTCTCGTGTCTTTTCCCCAGCTCCAGGGTTTAGGGTTTAGGGTTTAGGGT